TTTCCCAGCGAACACGTGTGATGGTATCTAGAGTCTCTTAATTAGCTACCTTCTTCTATGTGCATGCAACACGAAAGATGAGAATTTGGCGAAGATTTCGCGTCTCCCTCCTCAGACTCTTCATTACAGCCGACCATGCTGCTTTGTTTACATGGCATGGCCTGGTGGGAAGGTGACGTGACCCCCTTTCCGTTGCTTTGATTGGTTAATCTGATCTGAATCTGATTAAAAGGCTCGAACGGCGGGGCTATTCATTTTGATGTTTCGGCATAAATACTACCGCAATTATCTATATGTTGCCGCACCTCTCGGTTGCCGAATTTATTGTGGATATTCTTTTACTGTTTATCTTAATGCACCGTGAAAATTGTTTGGCCACATCACATATTGAAGGAAAGAGCTTTTCTAAACGCTTTTATGCATATCAGGTGGGGGACTATCAGTTTTGTTTCCTGTCCTCTTCTTTCTTCTTCCCCCTCCCTTTTTTTCTACTCTGTAAACCTCTTTCTTTTGCCTTTTGGAGGAATATTAGAAACTAAATTGAGCAAACATTTGAAAATTTTGAAAATTGTTGTACACGTTACACCGTCGACGTTCATTGTAAAGACACGAGCGTGCGTCGTGAGCACGCCTGTTATACACCAGACGTGGGGGTGACTGTTCTGGGATCAACAAAATATTGTCAAAACTGTTCAGTCTAGGATGTAAAATGTGGTCACTCAGTCATGTGACACATGAAGACAAAAGACCACACCTACAGTACTGAGAGGACACACACACCACTGATTTTGATGGAGATAGACAGAAGTACATGACTCTCTAAAATATATACTCCACAATTTATGTAAGTGTACAATGTATTTGTTTTAATCTATAAGAATCATTATTTTATTATACTTTAGAACATATTATATTGTATTTTTATTTTTTATTTTTAGTGACCGGCTTTCGGCTTTCGACTTTCGGCTTTCGGCTTTCTGCTATCGGCTATTGACTATTTGCTATGAACAATTTTGAATGAAGCTAACCGTGTGCAATAAGGAGTTTTTTTTTTTTTTTTTTTTTTTTTATAACCCAAAACAGTCAATAAATTTGGTCAAACAATCAAGATTACCAGAAGCAGTTCACTTACATTATAACCATGGACTTGAAAACGTTAAAGAAGAAACGAAGTGACGCTAAAAGAGCTGTTACTGTGGGAGCAAAGGCCTTGGAACAAGCCATTGATGTTGGACTTGAGGTAAAGGATGCAGTGGAAAGACTAGAGAAAAGATATCTGGATTATTTGGAAGTAACGAACGACTACAGGGTGTTATGTGAAGAAACAGATGCAGATACTGAATTCACAGTTGTTGCTGAGATGGATCTTAATGAATACGATGAACAGGTGAAAAAAACATACCTCAATACAATCCATGTGTATAAGCAACATAGCAAACGAAATGTAACTCAAAATTCAGACTCACCCATTCAACTGAAAAAAAGGGAAATCCCTAAATTCTCAGGACACAGAAGAGACTGGCCAGAATTTAAAAACATTTGGCAAAATATGGTTATTCCAGCCGTACAAAATAAAATAGCCTTGGCTGTGGATTTAAAAAAAACTCTTGTAAAAGTGGTCTAGCTTATGTAGAAATTTCCAACATCTCAGCAGGTTCGGAAAATGCTTATGATAAGATGTGGGAGGCTTTATGCCTACACTATGACAATGTCCCATTAGCCGTGTCCAATGCTTTAGAGGAGATAAGCCAGTTAAAACCAGTGTCATCTGAAGATAATTATCAAGAGCAAGTGCAATTGATCAGAAAAATTGATTCCATATTTCAACAGCTAGAGATGTTAGATCAAGTACATATGGTTTCTTGTAAAGACGTGGCACGCATTGTTTCATTTTTTTCACCCTTGCTCAGAAAAGATTGGGCAGAATTTCTCAATAAGTTGCCAGTTTCAGCACAATTACATCCATTAGGTCTACTTCAGGACTTCTTACAATCAAAGTTAGGGGTTCTCAAACAAATGGCTAATGATCAAGCGTTTTAGGAGTTTTTTTTTTTTTTTTTTTTTTCCCCAAAAGAGTGACGCACGTTCGACACATTCCCGGTGTGCTCTAGACTTTGTTCGTTAGTTGTGAGTGCGTGCGCCTTACTCAACACGCAAAGGGCACTTGTTCCTTCATTGCTTGCGACGCGCGTCTTGCACAACTCGCGTCTCTCATGCTCACTCCGTGCGAGGGGAGCAAGTTACGGTTGCGGTCTCGCTGTTCGCAGGCTATTCGTAGAATCTTTTGGACATGTCCAACATTCTCCGTACGTGCTTGCGGGCTGTCTGCGAACTCGATATGTCGTAAAGACTTGCGGAGGACGTGAGATTCTGCACAAAATTTGGACGTTAACAGCCAGTGAGTGCTCGCACGGCCGGTTGTAACCGAGGCTTAACTTCCGAATCCTAGCTGGATTTTGTCGGCTGTTCAATTATATTGAATAAAATTGTCAAAACAATAAGATTGGAAATGCCGGGGATTGAACCCGGGGGCCTCACACATGCAAAGCGTGCGCTCTACCACTGAGCTACATCCCCGCACGATGCTATACACGACGCATATATCAATTATTTGATAATTACACATTCAGCAAATACATATGTGCAAAAAACATCACAATATGGTTTCTGTTGAAGCTTGAAAGTGTAATTTTTTAAAAAAATATCAATCTATCAAATAAATAAGTAATGGTTCCACTTAAATTTGCCTTTCCTTACACCTGCACGTACATGGAGCGAACATACATGTATGGATAATGGTTAATGAATCCATTTTTACATTCAAAGTTAGACCCTGTTTTTATACTTAAAGGTTTGTCGTTTTGTTATAAAATCTAAACAGAGTGTAGCCATCAGAAGAGGTCACGTGGTCTAAAAACAAGCTCAGATATCAGAATAATAGCTATAACTGCCGGCTTTGTTGTACAACAGAATGTATTATATATCTATAGGACAGACAAGTATCAAAAATAAATAATGTTTTTAAGAAAGCTTTAGTTAAAAGTATATTACCCGAGACTACACTCACCTGTACATGTCCTTAGCACAGCTTAAGAAAGGCGGAGTATGTTGAACATAATATCATTTTGGGGGACGGAGAGCCTTTTGCTGCAGTGATTGTGAAGGACGGCGAGATCATAGGTGAGTGTCTACTGGGTATATATAAGGCAGGAAATCTTATATACATGTAGGTATAGACCTATATATAAGGCAGGAGATCATACATGAATATGAGTGTCTATATATATTAGACAGGCGATAACCCTGACTGGGTTAAAACAAAATAACCTTTATATTTTCTGCAGGTGAAGGTTGGAACCACATCATAGTGGACCATGACCCCTCCGCTCACGGCGAGGTAGTGGCCATCAGAAACACGTGCAGGAAGTTGAAGACACGTGACCTGACCGGATGTGACATCTATACCAGCTGTGAGCCGTGCGCCATGTGTGCTGCCTTGATTGCTATGACCGGGTGTGTATAGCTGTTTTCTCACGGTTACTGATAATTTAATACTTTAATTATAAAGCTCCAAAAGTGTTCTTTTCTTCATATTGTCTTGACACTTATATAATTACTTATTGCTCATGTTTTATCTCCAGAATTCAGCGGATATTCTATGATACCAACTTGTAGGCAATGACGTCTCACCTAGCTATTTTTCTTATTTTATCTCCAGAATTCAGCGAATATTCTATGGTACCACCTTGGAGGCAGTGAAGCCTCACTTCAGCGTTGATTACGCTGCAACATACCAGAATCTTCATCTTCCTGTACATCAGCGACATCTACCGGCAAGACAACTACTAGCCGAGGAAGCGTACGCGGCAGTCAGTCATACTTTTCCTATAAAGAAGAAGCCGGAAGCGGACGTTTGACATTTTTTTTTTCAAAAATTAAAAAGATTAATAAATATGCTCATAGTCCAGTATGATTTCATCATATTACAATGTGTCATGGAACACATTGTAATTTGGACTAGTGAATAAAGGGATAACGACTGTTTGCAAGTTATCCATATTTCACTATAAATGCATTGTAAACAGCTCATAGACATATAATAAATTCCATTGTACCACCAAAAACAGTGGTTAATGCAATTAATCTGGAATTTGTGTTTGCCATCACATCACGTGATGGCTGTACTCTGTAATAATCTCTTAAAGACAGTCTCAGTGGGTTAGATTAATGTATAGAAGCAGGTTCTATGTAAAGCTTTGATCAGATTTGTGTTTTGTGAGATTGTTTATTATTATATTAATAAGTCTGGGTCACAAAAGTCCTGTTAAGACAACTAGAATAAAGAATTAGAAAACGAAAACTATTTATCATGATTTCGGAGCACAGCCAGAAGTATTTCCGGCTCAAGGTCACGACCTCGATTTTCCCACGCTTACGACCAATCACAGCAGGCTTCAGTCAGAATGAGATAGACGTCACGACTACACAGCGAAACTTGTCAGACATGTAAGTGCCGCCTGTCCATCTTTTCGGTACATGTACCGATCAAAAATAGACAACGTAAAGCTCAAAACGCTCNTAAAGGACAACTCAGTGGGTTAGATTAATGTATAGAAGCAGGTTCTATGTAAAACTTTGATCAGATTTGTGTTTTGGGAGATCGTTTATTATTATATGAATAAGTCTGGGTCACAAAAGTCCTGTTAAGACAACTAGAATAAAGAATTAGAAAACGAAAACTATTTATCATGATTTCGGAGCACAGCCAGAAGTACTTCCGGCTCAAGGTCACGACCTCGATTTTCCCATGCTTACGACCAATCACAGCAGGCTTCAGTCAGAATGAGATAGACGTCACGACTACACAGCGAAACTTGTCAGACATGTAAGTGCTGCCTGTCCATCTTTTCGGTACATGTACCGATCAAAAACAGAAAAAGTAAAGCCCAAAAACGCTCTTATACACGTAACCAACTTTGTATGAGCACAAATATTGCCTTTATTGTGAACAGGATAATATGATAATGAGACACACTTGAGACCTGTGAAGCGCATACTCGCGTGTCGAGGAGTAGTTTCGCCATTGCCTCGTATGTGAGTCCTAACTCAGCTTTAAGTGTCCTCCACCGCCCCACCTCCCTCCCAACATACACAGTCTGAGTGCTTCTTCGTCTGTCTCTAATTTCTTTCGTATCTTTCGAACAGGAGTGGCTATTTTCTTTCGCCCCCATTTGTCGCTCTCCTCTTCAGACTTGACGCGCGTCTGAGCCATGTTTGCTGTTTTGGCGCCAAATAGTAACATCTGGGTCTCAGCCGTAGTACTTCATTCATAGTAAACCGCGAGACTTAGCGAGAAATTGCGCGTTCTGAAGCCGTACTGTGAGGTGGTAGCTGAGTATTTAAGACGAGTCGTCTTTTATTATTTAATGGAACTTAAAAACGGTATTAGGTAGCTTCATTTTCTGAACGGTTTTGGATAGGATATACCTTGGTCGTTATGGGGAAATTGGTGAGTTTTCCAGGAAAATTCATTTTCGTGCTATTTTAAGGGTTTAACGTGCTGAGACTGTCTTTAAGTACACAATGTTTTTTGTCCATCTGGTATTGTTTACACGACTTCTGCCAAAAGCAATACAAATGTTCACAAAAATTGCATTTTCGTGGCAACATAGTTTTAATTTTCTCCTCCAGTTTAAAGAAAAAAAAAGAATCATGTTTTAACCACTAAAAATGTTTTGCAAATAATATGATTATTTGGTAAAGGTATGCATGTTATTACCTGACTGAAGTTCTTCATTTTTACCAATCTCTTTAGTTTCAGTTTCACTTGCCTCAACTGTTTGTATAGTGGTTAAATCCGTTGCTGGTTCTGGTACTGAGAACAAAAACAAATCAATGTTTACTCATTTTAGTGACTGCATCTTGTCTTTAACAGATCATGGATATCTAATGCATAGAAATATCTGTTTGGATTAAATGACACATATTTTCAAATACAAAAAAAAAAAAAGGTTTAAAATAGTCATGAAGAAATTAAGCTTATTTAAGTAAACATGTAATTATGAAATGAACACAATTACCATTTTCAAGATCTCCCAACATGCGGCCCATTACTTTAACCTCCCTGAGTCCAATTGGACATTGGTAATTATCTCTGTTGATGTTTTTTTCATGACCTATATGATCTAAAAAGACCTGCTGATCTGCTGGGCTCATGTCCAGACTTGCATATACAGTTGACAAATAATGTCTGTTCTTTGTGGCATTGACTGTGACACCTTCCAATCACAGTTTCTTCCAAAGCCTGGAGCTTGTGCTATAACAGATAAAGTAACAGAGTTTCAGTATCTGTGCAAGTTACTTCAAAGAGGGTTATCAAACAGTAGACTCAACAAATCCTTCTTGACTAAGTGGTAAAATTTTTACCAGTATGTAGGACTAATTTTTTTTCTTTTTTTTTTTTTTTTTTGAGGAGGAAGGGGAATGGAATTATATCTGTACCGGTATGTACATACATCTTGCCATCAAAAAGCAAATACTTCCACTTATAACAAATACCTTATCGCCAAATCTAATAACATCTTCTGGTGAAAGCTCTGAAGAATCTTGAAGGTCACTCTCTGTAAAAGTAGCCAAAGACTGAACCTCACACACAATTGCAGGTACATAGGACTCTTTTCCTCAGATAAAAGAATAAATATGTATATTTCAGATTAGATTAGTGAGTTACAAAGCATTTATATTAATAATGTTGTGAAATGTAGAAGTTATAATAATAATAAAACACTTCTTTAAAACCGCGCTACACATGCGTCTCAGCGCTGTTTACATAAAAAATAAAAACTCCACAGAAATGTTAAAGCCAGTACAAACTAAAACAGAAAACTTAAAAAATTTAAAAACTAAAAAGATACTATAAATTAAAGTATTCTTTAAATAAAAAAGATTTTAAATTTTTCTTAAAACAGTAATATGAGTCATCCAGAGACACATTAGATCTTGTGATAAAATTAGACCATAAAATCGGTGCACAAATCTCGAAACTTCTGTGTCCATATGTTTTAAGAGTCTTTTTGGTGTCTTTTCGCTTAAGTTGAAGTTGTCCACTAGATCGAAGTGATCGGATAGGAGTAAAAAGTTCTATGGTAGAGTTTAAGTAAAATGGACAGTCGCCCTTTAAAATCTTAAAAGTCAAAAGTAATATTTTAAAAACTATTCGTTGAGACANTCTTTAAGAGAATATTACAGATAACCAAACTTTTTAGAAAGACAGGGACACAAAAAAAAAAAAAAAAAAAGACAGGGACTAGCTTTGGGACCATTTAGATTGAGAAGAGCCGAGTGCTCGTAAAGCCGCGACCTAAATACGGCGGACCTACACGAAAGGAAGACCGCTAATCCTATAATGGTCTCTCCGCCTGTCACACACTTCCCCACACGTCGTCCCTGCGGGGTCACAGTAATTAAATCTCGACTCAATTCAACCCGTCGAGAACACATTGAATCAAACCAATAACAAGTCTTTCCCCATTCTGAGAACAATAAAGAGTGAGCAGCCATCTGCTTCATCTCAGTGTATCAAACAAATCGTCTTTCTTGTGGCAGAAATTAATATATTAAATAATCAACTCTCATCTGCCTTATCTTTGTGTCATTAAAAAAGAAAAAAATACTTAGAATATTATACGGCCACTTCTACTTCTACATATACCTCTAATTCCCTCTTATTCCTCTCGAAGTTGCAAAAAAGAATTGTGTGTGAACCGCTTCGACTTTGAAGTTGTCTGGACGATCGTTCCTCGTATAGTCAAACAAAAGTGATATCTCCCGCGTCAACGTCGATTGCCAATTACACACCCCTCTTTTCTTGTGAATTTTTATATTTATGTATTTTAACGGCGATAACGTGGCTGCAATTTTTGCATCAACATTTGGCGGCAATGCGCTCGAGAAGAAAGTCCGTTTGCAACTAATTTAGCAGTGGAAGATTTGTAAAACCCGGACTTTTGCAGTATTTTGAGTAGACACTGTTGGATCCGACGATTTTTTTTTTTTTTTTTTTTTTAATTTTTTTTTTAAGATCAGAAAAAATTATTCGTTTGCGGATATCATCTTAAATAAGTTAAATAACTAATTACTTATAATGAAATTACTGTTTTTATCTATTTAAAGTTTATTTTTACGTTATCTTTTAAGTTAACATAAAAATTAAAAAGGCAACTTGTCAACTGTATTTTTGATAACGTGCAGTACTTGGGAACTCGAAACCCGGTTTATTTTTAACTTTTGAAATAAGGTGCTTAAAAATGTCCTCTCCACCCCCTCACATAATCTCTATTGTAACCCCGACCACTGTTCACCATAATCTACCAGTGACCTGCAGAGCCCTATCTGCCTCATCTCCTCCCTCTCAAGACCCCCCCCCCCTTGGGGTCCTGGTAGTCTTGTACATATTGAAATGTTACAGCACTGTCCAATACGAAGAACAGAGACTTTTGAGAAGAAGCGGGGTAGGGGGTAGGGCTGCTATTTCCTCTCACTGCATCTGCACTATTCTTGAAAATCCGCTAAAAACTACACTATTTGTTTAAAAATGCCCGGAGCACAGTCGACATTAAAATAGCAACGACCGCTGAAAACAAGCAAAGATGTTCTGCTGTCGACCGAATTTATTTACATGTGGCAAAACAGTAACTCAGTGATAATCAAAATAATGAAAAATAAAGCAGCTAAGGTCGACAGGACTCGTTTTATTTTAGTGCTAAAACATCAGGTTGTTTATTGTAACCAGCAACTTACCATCTCTATCATTATTTGTCCATTCAATACAAATCATGCAAAATGTTTACATGGAAATAAAAGATTGTAAAGATAAACTTTTTTTTTCATATTTAGGCCAAAATGAAGTCCACTGTTAACAGTTAAGTTCTACCGGGGTTTAAGTGAAAGAAGTATCGACTAATGAAAAATAATATATGTTTGTTTGCAATAGAAGTGCTTAATTAAAGTGATAATCCATTTAGAACTTCGACACAATTCCAATATCTACATGTATATACAACAAATACTGTGCACTAGTTGTAACCTGTGTCCATTACATTTTTCTTCTGTGTTATTAATCAATTCAAACATCATCACAGTGTCAAATCATATGTCATTTCTTATTTATATATTTATACGTGGATATTTCACATCTGTCAGTTCCAACAACAAGCTCCCCGTTACCACTGACATCAACTGACGCAGGATATCTAATGCTGTCACTCTTTGACAAAATGTTACAAAGAAATCTTCCGTCTGAACCAAGGACAACCACCCTGTGATGACTGTAGTCAGCTATGAATATGTGTCCAAACTTATCTACGCACACTCCTTCTGGATTACTCAGTTGTCCGTCTGCACTTCCTCTCTGACCTCGTGCTCCATACTGGAACATGACGTCACCCTGGGGTGTCACCGCATACACACAGTGGGCACTCTTGTCGCTGACTATGATTGCATTGATGCCGTGGTGGTATGCACAGCGCAGTGGACCTTTACTGCACATTGGGATAGGGATTCTGCCAACAAGTTGAAAAGATTTCATGTCGTACACACAGATGCACTGTGCACCACTATCACACACGTATACCTTACCCTCTGTACGGTCCACAGTGACACCCCAGGGGTTAGACATATCACCCTGACCAAAACATCGGATAAACTGACCTGATGTTGAATACAGTCTACAGCATTTATCATCACATGTGACCACGAATGTATCGTTACTGATTATAGTGAAATACCTCACCATACCCACTATATTGATCTCACGATTACTCTGACCTGTGCTGGAGAATATGGAGACTGTAAAACAATAAAAAGAATTATCATGTACAACTAAAATGCAACCGTCATCTGCACACTGGATATTCATCAGTGGCCCGACCTTAACATAAAAACGCATGGTCCTTTCTGGTGTTTCAAGCCATGAGAATTCCTGAAATTTCATCATGTCTGGATAGTGCGCTCTCTCTTGCTTCAAACTTCCAAAACATGCATCCAAGGGACCCCGGTATGTTTTCGCCGTAATGGACCCCGTTTTGACGGACAGCTGTGGTTCAGGAATTTTAGGAAACTGTAGCACAAGGTCCATTTTTGTTTTTCCTGGTGTAAATGTTATGTTGGTGATATTAGTATTAAATACTAGTTCTACTGTCTGCAACTCCTGAATTCTAGTTTGGAGTTTTTTAGAGTGGGTCATGACCTCAATATCAGAACCGGTGTCTGTGAGCTGCTGAGCGAAATCACGAATGCTATGAATGGAAATCTTGTTCATTTCTTGCTTGTCCTTTTCAGCTTCTAAAGTCTTCACCTGCGTGGAGGTGAGCGCCTTCACTTCTGCCTTTATTTCCTTGCTTTTGCCATGTATAAATCTTTTCATTTTGGTGTAATTGGATTGTGCTTTTGATTCGTAAGTTTCCAAATGCTGTTTGACAGTGGTCAAATATGCGTCCGTCTGTTGACGTACGTCCTTCTCTACTTGCTGATAATAATATTTGATTTCTCTTTCAATAGTTTTACTGTTTTCATCTATCTCCTCTGTCATAGCTAATTCTTGAGAATCCACCAAACGAAGAACATTCGTCTGATTTTCAGTCAGCCTCTCTTCCGTTCGCACAATGGCCTTTTCCGCCTCCTCAAAACGAAACAGTTTCTCAGTAGGAAGATTTATCAGCTTCTCTTGTATTTGATCTCGTTGAACTCTCACCACATCCCCCAATTCTTTGAAATCGTGTTTGCTGTGGATTTTGACAATGCATTCCCTGCATATAACGGTGTCATCATTTTCACAATAGAACGCCAGCGGTTCTCCGTCGTGTTTGTTACAGTATTGAGATTTATCTAATACGTGACGTAACTGATCTCCCATGTCAGCTGGGTTGACTGGGAAATCGATTTGTGACAGTGGAACAAATGAATGGTCCTCACAAATCGGTATTTTATCGTGAATTTCACGACATGTAGGGCACAGTTGGTTGGTTTTGGGGCATTCGTTGCACATAAAAGCGGCCTGTTTATGGTTACAATACTCACAAAGTTTCCCACCAGGCGTTTTCTGGCCTTTGATGAAGTCAGTTACTTTTCTTAAGAAGAAGTTTTTCACTAGAGTTTGTAATCCACCTGGTGGTACGGGGGCCTCTTGGCGACATACGGGACAGGAAAACTTGTTCTGGACACCATTCTTGGCTGCATGGTCAACAATGCATTCCAGACAGAACGTGTGGTAACAGGGGAGCACTCTCGGGTCTTTATATTCCTCCAGACATATATGACACGTTAAAAAGTTCTCACTGAAGACGTTGTACATCTCTTTCGAAGCCATCGCCATGGTATAGCCGCCCGGAGTGGGCACAGCGCCCAGCCCCCTACAAGCCGACCGCCCCGCTCTACTGATGACAAAGCCGTTGCACACGCTTTGTATATCATTTAATAAGTTATCTATACCACTTCAAAGTTGTCACCCGATCGACACATCCCAATCAGGTGATGTTGTCAATAACCAGGACGATATCAAAGTCTAGAGCCTGTACTAGCTGAGTGCTTGACATATCACTGATACATGTGAGGACCTGGGACTATAGTGTTGTAGGTTTAATAATAGTTATTGGAATACTGGTAAATCTCCTGATGTTATACATGCAGTGCCGTAGCTTTCTACACAAGAATAGACTTTTTAAATCTGTGTATGAGCAATAAGATAGAGAGACGTCGACGTAATGCAACCTTTTTTTACATAGAGTGAAAGGGATGGTGAGGGCGTTGGGATAAATTAAACTTGGTCGAAATAAAGATTGAAGTCCCTAGCTTCTATACACCGAGCCACTGTTATGATACATGCATTAACGCCCCCCCCCCCTCTCCCCCACTAGACACCGACAGCCCCGCTCTCCTGCTGCCAAGGCCGTTGTGTACGTGTATATATCGTTTAGTAGGTTATCTGATATCTGATAGATGTAAAGCTGTCACCAATCAACACACCACAATCAGGTGATGTTGTCAATAACCAGCTGGCAGGACGGTATCAAAGTCTATCAACAATCATGTACAAGCCGCACAGCAATAGTACTACTGCCTGTCATTAACGCCCTGAATGCCCTGTACGAATTACCGTACCCTGCGTTCTTTATCTGACCAGTATGTTTCAATCTGACATATACGGGCTTGTTGTTGTGGCTGAGACTATGGTAATGGAAGGCGTAGACCCCTGAGGTCGGGGAGGTGAATCGTGTCTTTATTGAAATCGTTGCCACTGTTCAGAAAGACGGTGTCGTTATACCTTTTCCCGGCTGATCAACTTCATTTAATCTTTCTTAAAATCTAGTTAACATGGAAAGGGAGATTTGAATAAACTTTATCTGCATAAAATTAATCTTCCTCGTCAAATATCGTTAATGTTAGAGTATTATCTACATAAGAGCTAATACTGTAGGGTCTTTTTAACCGATGCGCCAATGTCAGCTTGTAATGAAAGCCTTCTATAGAATGAAAAAAAAAAATAGCCGAAATATTTCCCTGTTCGTGTCAGATGTACGTACGGTCACACAAGGAAACCTAAGGACAGCTAATGTTTATTTGTTGACTCTCCCAACTGTAAGATCCACGTGAAACCTCCAATGTCGTAACCCTCTCCCTTATTAGTAGGCTTGTTAAGGACCAAAAATTGGCCAAACGCTGCATTTTGTATAATTTTGCATCATAAAACGTAAAACGTTTACATGAAAATGAAAGATTGAAAAGATAAACTATTTTTTATACTTGGCACGAATGTTCCTTGGGTCAAAAGATTTTTATCCAAAGAGACACGCTCTATCGATGCATAAATTAGCAAAATATATAATATTCCATATTTCCATTAACGTCTTCACCTTCGTTTGCATACGTCTTGAAGTCAAATTAGTCCAAAAATATGTTATATAACAGTTTTTAAATGGTTTTGCCAGACATAGATTAAGTAAGAGACCAGCATGGCTGATTTGACTTTATGGTGACTATTGTTAGCTATTCTTTTGTTCAAATCCAAGAGCCTGTCGCTTTTTTAAAATTATGGCATAATTTACCTTTTTGAGCTGTTGGACTTTCATAAGATCGTAATACATCAATTGTTACTATTTTGGAAGTACATAATTAATTTCTAGTGTTGTTCTGGTGACAGAGGATAGTAAAAAAAAGTGTTTTAAGACTATTCCAAGATGAATTTTCCTGTAGTTGTCATATGCTGTCGATGTTTTGCATGTTCGTCCATTGGAAACAATGAAAACTATATGTAGTCGCCTTGAGGATTCCTATTGGTAGTGAGATGACTTGTCTGGCCAAATTGTGCTAGGAAGGATCACTGGCACTGTCAACTAGAAAAGGAGGCTGCTTCCAGGACTTTGTTTGCATTATCCCTCTTGTCTACCTGCACAGCTGCTGCTTTCTAGTTGGTTTTGCAGATTCTTCTTCTGTGTAAAGATACCACTTTCCTCTTATGCGACTACTTGTTCCGATGCATTGATGTTTCTCTGGAAACACCTCATAGGACACTGACCAAAGATCAATTCTTACTGGCTGTTGTCTTATTGGCCTACCAGAGCTGATTATTTATGTTTCTTTTTGCTGTGCTGCTGGATGATTTTTCAGACAAGATCTGGAGCTATTTCAAAGCAAAGTCCATTTAGGGGCATTTACTCATCAACACAACTAACCAAGTTCCATAGTATTATAAGACGACACATTTTTCACCCTTCAAATCTTCTGGTAACACGCAAATGCAAGCCCCAGTGACTGGGACATAAATGTGCATGTGGTTCTTTGGTTCCCATTGACCAGTAAAAGATTAATAATTTAATACCACTATGTACAGGTATAAGCCAATATGCAGAGAGACTGGCTGGCAGAAATTTCGAAATACCAGATTATTTTGCTTGCCTTACAGTACGTAATGATCCTAGAAAATAAAATAAAAAGATACCTCAGGTAAATATGTTCAGGCTGTTTGTTCAAAGGGTATTCCTTGCTTCAAAATTAGCTTATAAATCTAAAAGCTTTATGAACCAGGATCATTTTAATTATGTAAGTAGCATATTTTATTTTTCGTGGGATCAGTTCCACTTAGCAAAATAAAAAAAAAAGTTGCAGCAAATTAGCTGCAAATTTACTGAAAACTAAACAGCTTTTTTGTAAGAAAAATTGTTGCTGCAAATTAACAAGAACTTTACAAATTTGCAAGAAAGCTTCAAATCCTTTGAAATTCTTTTGATGGTACATTCCTTCTTCCAACATAAAAACAAATCGCAGCAACAGTTTACAGGAAACTTGAAATTTTGCTGTATTTAACATTACTGAGTTGTTTAGAAGTGAAAAGTACTTGACTCAACTGTAAAGACCAAAAATTGCATATTCAAAAGAAAAAAGTTATCAGTTTTATATTTATGTGGATGAGATGTACCGATACTTTTCAGATGAAGTCATCAGAACTGGTGAACAAGACTTGGAACTTGCTGATGTTACCATGGTTTATGATTGCAAAATTAAAACCCTTCCGTGATGTGGTCTCTTCTCTCTTTGATTCCCTGAATTCATATTTGAGCTATTTAGATGGGTCTTAGAAACATTTGAAGCTGCAAACGGTGCCAATGACAAGTACGTGGACCTGTACAAGGGGCTAAATCTAAAGCTTGGCAATGTAGATGTTAATGAAGCTGTTTCACTACGTGAGGTTTTGCCGGAAGATTGTGCCAAAAGAAGGATTTTTGTTGAGCATTTGAAAGATGCTTTTCCATATCCTATGCATCTATGGACATACAGTTACGGTAACAACCTGGGGTACACTTATTTTCTATGGAAGATGTACAGGTGCCAGTATACCTGAAGAGAGAGATAGCACGGCAGATATCAGAATCATGTTTGCAACTAGAGCAATGCGAAAGAAATTCATCAATAAATATGCCACACAAACTTCCTTGAAGCCTTCAATATTGCGAAATATGTTCTACATGCTGACAGGTCATGACAATGCCTCTAACACACTTGCAGAAAAGAAACTGGATGGGGGTGTTTGTGATTTCCTACTGAGTGCAGATGATGAAGAACTGATATTTGACCTACAACATATTTGCCACTGGCCATGTCAGTTGAAGACTTGAGAAAGAAAATTCTTGAGAGACTGCCAGAAGGAGCAACTGCACCAAGTGGTTCTTGGACAAGGCTTAATTTTCAGAAAAAAACAGATATTTCAATGCAGTATTGAACTATACTGGTAAATTTGATGTGAGATATGTTCAGCAGCGTATTCTACGTTGTAAGCATGAACATTCGGGCTTTTGCTTTAATCAGTATTTACTTATGAAGGAAATGGCAGTGAAATGGCGTGACTGGGCACAGTTTCAATGCTTAGATGATAAGGCCATCATTCCAGTTTGAGAGCCTGATGCAGCAGTTTCAACAGGGGTTCAAGCTATGGTTGTCTTGTGGTGGGTTCCTCAGCACCAGTCAGCCTGGACCATGATTTCCATGTAGCTTTCGTTGTACCATTTGTGTGTTTGAAGTTGATATTCCAGAAAATCCACAAGATTCATTTTATAATGGAATTTTGCATGTTACTGTGAAAGATAAAGTATTTGAGGTATCCAGTCCCAGACGCCATGCTGCTGAAACATCTGCAATAATGAGCCAGTTGGCCAGCATTCCTCCATTGTTGTTTAGACTTACAGATGTTGGTCCTGATCACAATACCACTTTCAAGTCTGAGCAGTTGGCTACACTGTGTGAGTCTGTTGTTCGTGATTTGGACTTGCTTGTCCTAGTAAGAACAGCTCCAAAACAGAGTTACAACAACCCAGCAAAAAGGATGATGTCAATCCTTAATTTGGCTCTTCAGAATGTTGCCAATGCTAGAACAGGGATGCCGGATAACTTTGAATGGCAGGTGAAATATTTGAATTCTATCAGCGCCATCAGAAATGCAGCAAACAAGAACTCAGGATTGAAAAAATGCCTTGACTGAGTCCATGGCAACACCTATTGCCTCTGTTGAGGAGAGATTCCAAGCTTTGAAATGGAAAGATGAATTTGTCTAGGTTCACGGTGCTGTATCACCTGAAAGCTTGAAAGAAATTACCCAGAAGTTGGCAGTGTTTAATGATACTGTAGAATTTGACTCCATACATTCTGCAAAAGATGTTGCAAGACACCCCAAATTGACTGACTTCATGGATACTCACTGATGGTTCTGGCAATAAACCTACCAGATAAAAAAAGTGTAAAAATCATAATGAAAAACCATGTGGTTATTGTACTCTCCATCCACCAAGGTATAGTGCACTTTATATGAATAATATGACTATAGTTCATCTGAGGAATGCTAATTGATAATGCTAGCCAAAGGTTATACTCTGTGTGTGTGTGTGTGTGTGTGTGTGTGTGTGCGTGCTTCAAACGGCAACTTGGAAATTCGTAATATTTTGTTCGGTGTTAATATTTGGTTGGTTTTAAATGTCCTTTTAAAGAATTAAAATTCTCACTCCCATTTACATATTAACATTGATTGCATTTAAATAGTTCAGATAATTCTTTTTTTTTATTATAAAGAGTCACTTTGTACAAATTAAATCTCATCGTATAGGTTATTGTCCCAAAACATTCATATTTTAGAATGCCAGATGACTTGTTCCAAGAATTACATGTACTGCCAGACCCTATGTTGGATGAAGGTGGTGAATTCAAGACTTTTGCTGAATCGTATGGAACGGAAACCTCAGATGCTCACAGGCCAAGCGTGCTAAGAAAATCAGAATGTACAGATACAGACAAGAAAAATAGCAGTCTAATGGTTGGTGGTGAGTAAATTTATCTTTACTAACATTTTATTTTCTCTTCTTAGGTAAAAGTGATTTTGTTTAAGTCATTTTATTGATGATTAAATTATCCTTTAATTCAAGTGAACTTTTAAATGCAAATTCAAAAAAAAAAAAAAAATTCCCATTTAACTTTGCCTTTTCTTTTGTTTGAGATGTTAATTATAAGATATTAATCTTTCCAAACCAAATTGGTTTTACAGCCTTACCATTTTACTATATGGTCTATTTGACTAAAATGTTTTAGTCAAGAGAGTTGCAAGTTGAGTATATTCTCACACATATTTATTCAAATAATTTCAATGCTTATTTATTTTGCAGGCAAGGCAAGAGCCTGTATATTGTGCAAGGTGTGTGGAAAAAGACGGGTCGTCTATGCCAACCAAATGATAACCCTGGCCCAACGCCATACACTTGCCAGACTCGAAGAAGAACTGCTCTACACCTGTGGCAGTACCCTTGCTCCTGAACAGGTGTAATGTTATTTAGTGACAGCATGCAGTGAATAAGAAAGTTTATTTTTAATTAATGAATAATTTAATTTAAAATATGCCTGGGGACAGACATATCGTCCCCGGGAGATAATGTAATGTTAGCTAGTGACAGCATGCAGTGAATAAGAGCGGGGAGTGTTTTGTAGTGTCACTTTAGTTGATTGACACGACCTTATTGTACTTAAGCGAAGAATGTAATGTAGACGGGGAGAACGATGTAAGAGGTTGAACGGAGAGGAATATACTGTAGATAGCGTAGTTAGAAAGCGATAATAAAGAATATGGGAAAAAATGGAATTGTTTAGTTATTACCTCGCGCCACCAAGACAAAGTCAGTAACGTCGTCACATAGGGACAGAATCAAAATATGATTGTGAGGGAAAGCATCACTTGTTCATCTCCCATGGGGACGCAATATTATGCAGATGTGACTCAGTGTTTCCAGCAGTGTGCTATCATTGTGGGGACACTGAATTTGCTGAAGATGACCATAGGGTTAAGCAAAGTAAAGAAGAATTTGCAATTGTAAGGCCCATGTGTAAAGCATGTTTAAATGAGGGAAAAAAGATCATAACACAAAATGCATTGAAGGTCAAGAGAAAGAGAAATTAAGGACTTTTAAGTGTTTTATGCAGCTTTTGATGATATGTTTATTTTTCTCATATTGGCATTTTCAAGTTGTGACTTTGAACTTACATGGGCTTGAAGACCTTTGCTAAACACTTTTTATGCATATCCATGATGTTTATTTTGCATCAAATTGACAAAAACTATATTGTGCACTGCCACCACAAATGCTTGGAAAGGCAAACTGTGTCTTTAATTTTTTTGTATAATACAAGAAAGATTCTTAGGAATGACATTCATTTAGACAAAATAAACATTGAAAAGGAATCATGTTTGTATCCTTTAAAAAAATATTGCTTTACTGTGTTAAAGTCAGTTTTTACCATTGTCTAAAGTAGGTTTGAAAATTATTTAACAAAAAATCATTATTTTGAAAAATATTTTTATTTTTATTTTCCCCCCTCCAACCTTTGAAAAAAAAATATTTGAGAAACAAGTGAAAAAAAATCTGCTTAATTTATAAACTAAAGTCTTAATTAATAATTGGGTAAATTAGAATAAAGTTGGAATAAAGTACAATTTCTAAAATATACTGTTTATTTCACAAGCATAAAAAGTATTACAGATGTATTTGCACCAAAAATCCTTGGTCCTCTGTTATGTGTTTTATGGGTTTTGTCCTTTTGCACAAAACCATTACAAGAATGACATCGCAACACGACAGATGTCATTGTTGACATATTCGTAGCGCTTCGACCAAAATAACAACAAAGATTTCATTAAGATTTCTTAAAAGGATGAATCACATATTTTTTGCAAGTTATACTTTTATCATATAGCCACTATCGCAAAAAAAAAATAAATAAATAAATAAAAATAAATAAATAAATAAATAAAAAATAAAAAATAAAAATAAAAAATAAAAAATAAATAAATAAAACTTATATGAGAGGGCCTCTTTAAGTACGACAAGGTCATGTCAATCAACTCAAGTTACTCTACAAAACACTCCCCGTTCCTCATTTACTCGTTGCTGCTGTCAAATACTAACATTAAATTCGCATACATGTATGATGTAGCCTATCTAATTCATTTAGAACTTCGGCACAATTTCAATATCTATATACAGCAAATATAGTGCCAACTAGTTGTAACCTGTGTCTATTACATTTTCCTCAGTGATATTGATCACAATTCAAACATCATCACAGTGTTAAATCATATGTCATTTCTTATGTATATACTTATACGCGGATATTTCACCTCGGTTAGTTCCCACAACAAGCTCCCCGTTACTGTTGATATCAACTAACGCAGGATATTTAATGTTGTCACTCTTTGTCAAAATGTTACGTAGAAATGTTCCGTCTGAACCAAGGACCACCACCCTGCCATTATCTCGGTCAGCTATGAGTATATGTCCACCAAACTTATCTACGCACACTCCGACTGGATAACTCAGTTGTCCGTCTCCACTTCCACTCTGATCTCGTGCTCCGTATTGGAACATGACGTCACCCTGGGGTGTCACTGCATACACACAGTGGGCCCAGTGGTCGCTGACTATGATTGCATTGATGCCGTGATGGTATACACAGCGCAGTGTGCCTTTACTGCACATTGGGATAGGAATTTTGTTTACAAGTTGAAAAGATATCATGTCGTACACACAGATGCACTGTGCACCACTATCACACACGTACACCTTACCCTCTGTACGGTCCACAGTGACACCCCAGGGGTCAGACATATCACCCTGACCAAAACATCGGATCGCCTGGCCTGATGTTGAATACAGTCTACAGCATTTATCGCCACATGTGACCCCAAATCTATCGTTATTGACTATAGTGAAATACCTCACCACTCCCTCTATACTGATTTCACGATTGCTCTGACCTGCTCTGGAGAATATGGAGACTGAATTACCATGTACAGCTAAAATACAACCGTCATCTGCACACTGGATATTCATCAGTGGCCCGTCCTTAACATAAAAACGATTAGCCCGCTCTGGTGTTTCAAGCCATGAGAATTCCTGAAATTCTATCAGCTCGGGACAATATGCTCTCTCTTGTTTCAAACTTCCAAAACATGCATCCAAGGGACCCCGGTATGTTTTCGCCGTAATGGACCCCGTTTTAATGGACAGCTGTGGTTCAGGGATTTTAGGAAACTGTAGCACAAGGTCCATTTTTGTTTTCCCTGGTGTAAATGTTATGTTGGTGTTTTTGGCATTACATACTAGTTCTACTGTCTGCAACTCCTGAAATCTAGTTTGTAGTTTTTTAGAATGGGTCATGACCTCAATGTCGGAACCGGTGTCTGTGAGTTGCTGAGCGAAATCACGAATGCTCTGAATGAAAATCTTGTTCATTTCTTGCTTGTCCTTTTCAGCTTCTAAAGTCTTCACCTGAGCAGAGGTGAGCGCCTTCACTTCTGCCTTTATTTCCTTGCTTTTGCCATGTATAAATCTTTTCATTTTGGTGTAATTGGACTGTGCTTTTGATTCGTAAGTTTCCAAATGCTGCTTGACAGTGGTCAAATATGCGTCCGTCTGTTGACGTACGTCCTTCTCTACTTGCTGATAATAATATTTGATTTCTCTTTCAATGGTTTTACTGTTTTCATCTATCTCCTCAGCCATAGCTAATTCTTGAGAATCCACCAAACGAAGAACATTCGTCTGATTTTTAGTCAGCCTCTCTTCCGTTCGCACAATGGCCTTTTCCGCCTTCTCAAAACGAAACCGTTTCTCAGTAGGAAGATTTTTCAGTTTCTTTTGTATTAGATCTCGTTGAACTCTCACCATATCCCCCAATTCTTTGAAATCGTGTTTGCTGTGGACTTTCACAATGCATTCCCTGCATATAACGGTGTCATCATTTTCACAATAGAATGCCAGCGGTTCTCCGTCGTGTTTGTTACAGTATTGAGATTTATCTAATACGTGACTTAACTGATCTCCCATGTCAGCTGGGTTAACTGAGAAATCGACTTGTGACATTGGAACAAATGAATGGTCCTCACAAATCGGTATTTTGTCGTGAATTTCGCGACATGTAGGGCACAGTCGGTTGGTTTTGGGGCATTCGTTGCACATAAAAGCGGCCTGTTTATGGTTACAATACTCACAAAGTTTCCCACCAGGCGTTTTCTGGCCTTTGATGAAGTCAGTTACTTTTCTTAAGAAGAAGTTTTTCACAAGAGTTTCTAACCCACCTGATGGTACGAGGGCCTCTTGGCGACACACGGGGCAGGAAAACTTGTTCTGGACACCATTCTTGGCTGCATGGTCAGCAATGCATTCCAGGCAGAACGTGTGGTAACAGGGGAGCACTCTCGGGTCTTTATATTCCTCCAGACATATATGACACATTAAAAAGTTTTCGCTGAAGACGTTGCACAACTCTTTCGAAGCCATTGCCATGGTATAGGCACAGAGCCCCGCCCCCTACACGCCGACCGCCCCGCTCTACTGCTGCCAAAGCCGTTGTGTACGCTTATATATCATTTAATAAGTTATTTATACTAATTCAAAGTTGTTACCCGTTCGACACATCCCAATCAGGTGATGTTGTCAATAACCAGGACGGTATCAAAGTCTATGCTGCATTAGCTGAGTGCTGCTTGACATATCAGTGATACATGTATACTGTGAGAGGTGTCATTCCGGTGACATGTGCCCCCCCCCCCCCCCCCCCTTTAAAATTTCCTTGTGTTTGGTTATAGGTATTAAAATATTTGTATACCCCCTTACGCTATATAAACACTGAGAAAGAAAGGAGCACACAAGAATAGGCTTTATAAAACTGTTTATGAGCAATTAGATAGAAAAATTAACCTGTTATTAAATAAAGTGACAGAGATGACGAGAGCTCTGGATAAATGAAACTATGATGAAATAAATATCGAAGCCCCTAGTTTCCATACACCGAGCCATTGCCATGGTACATGTATTAGCCCCTCCCCCCCTCCCCTCCAAACACACACACGGGCGCTAACCGCCCTGCTCTACTGCTGTCAAGGATGTTGTGTACGTGTAAATATCTTTTAGTGGGTTATCTGATATCTGATAGATTTTAAGTTGTCACCGATCAACACACCTTAATCAGCTGATGTTGTCAATAACCAGGACGGTATCGAAGTCTAGAGCCTGAACTAACTGAGTGCTTGACAGTAATACACTGTACACGTCTGTGTGCATGTGTTTGTGTTTGGGAGGGGTTGGGGTTGGGGGTTTGTGGGGGTGTTATGTTAATTCCTTTTGATTGGACACTACCTCACGTATTTCTCTGTGGTCCCATGTTGTATTGATGTATTTTAATGCATTTTTTAAAATATTGAATTTATAGTGTGCCACGTGATCATATTTCCTCTTTTTTATATAAGTGTAACCTCACGATCATATTTTTAAGTGATATTAATGATTGATATTAGGTTAGATAGTATCCATTTCAAAGACACGATGTAGATAACCATGAGGGCGGTGAACAAGTAGTTATACATTAACCGGGTGGCATTCTATATCGACTAAAATTAAAATGACATTGAGCGTTACTGATGCATTTTTGTATCGGGGACGCACAGATCTGGCAAATCTCTTTGGTGAAACCTGCCCCAACGATTATTACAAGAGAGAGAGAGAGAGACGACGACGAGGACGAAAGAGAAAGTGTGTGTGTGTGTGTGAGGAAGAGAGAGAGAGACGGACGAGGAGAAAGAAAGTGTGTGTGTGTGTGTGTGAGAGAGAGAGAGAGAGAGACGACAAAAAAGTATATGTATGTGTGTGTGTGTCAGAGAGAGAGAGAGAGAGAGAGAAATGAGAGAGAGAGAGAGAGAGAGAGAGAGACGGACGAGGAGAAAGAAAGTGTGTGTGTGTGTGAGAGAGAGAGAGATTTATTCCAATCTGTTTGTTATGGGTACAGATCTGCTTCTTATACCTCCCCTTCAGCACTTGTCTTAGCCTACGGGACTGAATACATTTCATCTTTAAAGGTTACACTATGACTGCAGATGTAATGTGAACAGTTGAATTGATCAAAATAAATATGTGTAGATATATCACCATATTTCATTTGCATTGTTATCTTTAGGTTTCATATCTTGGCTCCAAGGAGTTTTAAGAATATAGAAATGTTTCTGACTTGGAGGAAAAAGCTGGACGGACGGAAATGCTTTTACCAGGAAATCGAGCATGCCACAGTTTGCTACTTTGTGTATCAATACATCAATAGTTTTAAAACGAGTTGTCAAGAACGTTTGCCACAACGAGAATCAATACTATCACCCGAGATTTCTCTTGTTGTTGAGAGCCCCCTGGTGGAGGGTAGAAAATTGATATGAAATAAACTCACGCTTTCGCAGTGATGACGATCCATTACGTTATGTAGTTTCATTAAGTAAAATGCACTTGAGCTTTTTTAACGTCTTAGAATCCAAAATGAGAGCGTTCTTTATTCTTCGTTGCTACTGTTGTGTCAAGAAGTTTGCAATTTTGTCATTTTTAAATGATTTTCATATAAAAAGCAGACGACATTGAGCCCAGTTTCCCGGATGAAGTCCACCTACATTGTGTAAGTGCAGTTGGATCCAGTAACGAGCTGTGAATTGTTTTGGTAAATCAAGAGAATTAAAGCAGTTCAACAGACTTTGGCAAGCAATCAATCTATCAAATAAATAAATAATTCAGAACGCATTTAGATTAACTCACTAAAAATGTATTACCCGAGACTACACTCCCCTTTCAGACAGGGACGCTAATTTCAAGGAGCGATGGTCGTGGAAATTGTACTCATCACTTGAGTTTGTCTTGCTTCCTGTGTCCGTGGCACACACTCACCACTTACGAAGGGAATGCAAGGCACGACGAAAGTAGTGCCCTTTTGCGTCAGTTTTGCTTCACTCTTGCCTCACACGTTTGTGGTGACGTACGGCGTACGTCAGTTTTGTTTCCTGTCTTCCTCTTCTTTCTTCTTCCTCCTCCCTTTTTTCTGCTCTGTAAACCTCTTTCTCTTGCCTTTTGGAGGCATATTAGAAACTAAATTGAGCAAACATTTGAAAAGTTTGAAAATTGTTGTACAAGTTTCACCGTCGACGTTCATGTAAAAACACGAGCGTGCGTCATGAGCACGGCCTTTATACACCAGGCGTAGGGGTGACGCACGTGCGACGCATTACCGGTGTGCTCTCGACTTTGTTCGTTAGTTGTTAGGGCATGCGCCTTACTCAAAACGCAAAGTGCACTTGCTCCTTCATTGCTTGCGACGCGCGACTTGCACAACGCGCCTCTCATGCTCACTCCGTGCGAGGGGAGCAAGTTACGGTTGCGGTCTCGCTGTTCGCAGGCTATTCGTAGAATCTTTTGGACATGTCCAACATTCTCCGTACGTGCTTACGGGCTGTCTGCGAACTCGAAATGTCGTTAGAAGGACTTGCGGGGAACGTGAGATTCTGCACTAAATTTAAACGTAAACAGCCCGTAAGAGCTCGTACGGCCGGTTGTAACCGAGGCTTAACTTCCGATTCCTAGCTGAATTTTGTCGGCTGTTCAATTATATTGAATAATATTGTCAAAACAGTTATTTTGGAGATGCCGGGGATTGAACCCGGGGCCTCACACGTGCAAAGCGTGCGCTCTACCACTGAGGTACATCCCCGCACGATACCATACACGACGCATATATCAATTATTTGATAATTACACATTCAGCAAATACATATGTGCAAAAAAACATCACAATATGGTTTCTGTTGAAGCTTAAAAGTGTAATTTTTTAAAAAAATATCAATCTATCAAATAAATAAGTAATGGTTCCACTTAAATTTGCCTTTCCTTACACCTGCACGTACATGGAGCGAACATACATGTACACTGTATGGATAATGGTTCATGAATCCATTTTTACATTCAAAGTTAGACCCTGTTTTTATACTTAAAGGTTTGTCGTTTTGTTATAAAATCTAAACAGAGTGTAGCCATCAGAAGAGGTCACGTGGTCTAAAAACAAGCTCAGATATCAGAATAATAGCTATAACTGCCGGCTTTGTTGCACAGCAGAATGTATGCTATATATACGAGTTGTTCACAATGTTTTTATTTTGAAATGTAGCTAGATCTCATACGAAGAAGTATTATCCCTGTAATTTATTACCACCATGTAAAAATCGCAAACATAATTCACATAGTAAAATCACATAACAAAATCGTTCTATTATAAATAATAAAATCATTATAAAATGTGTTCAGTTTAAACTATAGGACAGACAGGTATCAAAAATTTTTAGAAAGCTTCAGTTAAAAGTATATTACCCGAGACTACACTCCCCTGTACACGTCCGGATGCACAGCTTAAGGAAGACGGGGTATGTTGACATGTTCTGAACGCAGGCCAAATTACATAATGTCAGTAATACCGTATTCAGATTCACTCATCACACTAACTGGATAGGTCAAACTCTGCGGGGAAATTCACGCTAAAGTGCAATCAGTGGAATCAGCTTAATTGTCTGACACACCTCCTCGAGCAGCTAGAGAGTAACTATTGTGTGATAACTAACCTGATTCCACTGATTGCACTTAAACGAGAATCCCCAGAAGAGTTGGATCAATTCAGCTACTGCGACATGTGAATCTGAATGCGACATAAACGGAACGAAGATAAGCTTACTTAAAACTTTGACCTTTTGATGTTTGCGGGTTAAAATCTTACCAGGCTCATACCCCTGTATATTGCACGGGTGCCGCATATGAATTCTTTATGACCTGAGAGACAACATGGAAGACAGCCCTGATGATCAGTTTATGCGACGTGCGATAGAGCTGAGCGCACGTGGCGCCACGTTGGGGGACGGAGAACCTTTTGCTGCAGTGATTGTGAAGGACGGCGAGATCATAGGTGAGTGTCTACTGGGTATATATAAGACAGGAGATCTTATATAAGTATAGACCTATATATAAGACAGGAGGTCATACATGAATATGAGTGTCTTTTTATATTAGCAAGG